TTCTTCTATCTTTCTTCTACCATCTTTCATTTTCTTCTCCAATTTGGGAATTAGGGTTCAATATCAAAGAGTGTAAGCAATGCCTCAACTTCAAACATTCATAAAGTATAGTACATCTAGATCTTTGATTCGTAGAAACAAGAGAATCGAGTGCTTTTGCCAAGATGAAAGTGTTCTTAGAACAGTGAATGATGTGAACAATGTCAACAAGGGGAGAAAATTCTGGGGTTGTAGAAATTACAAAATCACATTGAAAAGGGTTGTAGTTTCTTTAAGTGGCTGGGTGATGAGTTTGTTGACGAAAGGGATTTGAAGCTAGAAAGACAAAAGAAAAAAATTAACAAATTGAAGAATGAAGTTATCTACACTAAAGGGTGGCTCAAAATGTCCATTGTTGTTGGGATTGTAAGCTTAAGTTTGAACCTTGTGTTTGTAACAATGTATCTCAATTAGTTTTATGGTAGTTCGAAGTTATGTTGTTATGTTGGTAGTTCTAGGGTTGAAACTTATGTTTGTAACAAATTGATGAGCTTGTTTAATGAATAATGTATTATTATGTTGTTTCAATGAATAATGTTTGTGTTATGTTTTCACATTTTCATTGAATAATGTCTCAATATCCAACCTGTAAAAAGGGCAGCCCAATGACCAATATTTGTGGAAACAAACTGTAATATAACTTGGCATCATAAGCCATTCAACATTCATTAATAGATTTAAAGTTTGATACATAACAAGTTCAATAACAAAAGGCCATTATAAGGCATTGCATAACAGGTTCAAAACCAAAAGGCCATTATAAGGCATTGCATAACAGGTTCAATTCCCAAATATGCATTAACAAAAAAAAAAAAAGAAGAGTCAAGCCATTAAATGACATTATAAAATCTTAGTAGACATAATAATAATGATCATGGTTGGCTTGAAACAGGCTTGAAACTCTTATGAAGTTTTTTCTTAGTTTTAGGTGGTGGCTGACTTGTAACAACAGGTGGTGGTGGTTGACTTGTAACAGCTTGTGGTGGTGGATGACTTGTAATAATAGGTGGTGGTGGTTGACTTGTAATAACAGATGGTGGTGGTTGACTTGTAATAACAGATGGTGGTGGTTGACTTGTAACAGCTTGTGATAGTGGCTGACTTGTTGCCACAGGTGGTGGTGGTTTGACTTGTAACAGCTTGTGATATTTGCTGGCTTGTTGCATCTTGTACCTGTCTTGAATCAGATTGTGATGGTGGCTAACTTGTTGGTTCTTGTGGTTGTGGTAGTTTACAAGTGGCTTTGTTGTGAACATCCTTACGCTAACGACTACACTTTATACCATGTCTTTCCTTCTTCATGTGTGTCTCATCCCTCACCATCTCTCCAACTTTCCTATTCCTTTTTTTCTTTGGCCTTCCAGGCTGCCTTTTTATTGGCAGTGGTTGAAGATCAACAACACTAGTATTTCCCACAAGGCTTACCTATTAAGTGGATATATCACATGTGCATAACAAGCATCATATTGTTCCTTCTTGTAACAATCAGGTATAAAGTCATCAATCTCCAAATGTTGATATTTCATGCAAGACATTGCATGACAACAAGGAATTCCAGTCAGCATCCATAATCTACATGAGCATTCTTTTTTGTAAAGGTTGACAACATATTTTTCTCCATTGAGTGAAGTATGCCTCACCTCATAGTCATATTCACCTGCACGCCTGTAAACAAGTAACCATTTTAATGTTAATCTATGTAAACAGTTAGCCATTTGAAAGTAATGTTCAACAAATCAATCATGTTACCTCACAATCTAATGATTGGTTTTCTGTGACTCCCTTTCCATCCTCTTCTTGATGTTAGGTAGTATGATGATGTCGTATTTGGTAATCTTTTGCCTATTATATTCCCATCTCTGCATTAGGTATACTATAATTTCTTCCAGCATTGTCACAATGGGCTTGGATCTAGCAGCTACAAATACATAATTGAAGGCCTCTGACATATTGTTAACCAAAGTGTCACAACCTGAACTTGGCTGGAACTTTGATTTTCTCTAGAATCTTGGTGTAATTTTGATGAGGTGTTTGAAGGCCTTTTCATTAACTCCTTTGATTTCAAGCATTATTTTCTCCCAAGCATTAACATAACTTGCACATGCAGTCCTCCACATCAACTCCTTTAATTTCAGGCCAGGGAACTTTTTCCTGAAGTTACTATACAAACTTTTTCCTAAAGTTACTATTCAAAGCTGGATTCTCTCTAACATTTGTTTGAATATTCTTATCCGACCATTTTGAATTGAGGAGCCTAATCTTATAATCCCTACTACATGTATGCTTGTCCATAATTATCCTCCATTGCCAAGTCTCCTCACCTTTTATATTTGCACAGTAAGCCTCCCATGGGCAACCTGCCTTACATTTAACTCTCATTCTTACTTTACCATTTTTTTGTAAATTTCAACTTCCTTCCTTCCTGAATGACATATGTTCTTATTGCCTCTTGAAACACCCCCTTTTGTAGAAAAATATGTACCAACTTCCCATTTGTAGTCTTCCATTTTTTTTGGAAGCTTAAAGGTTACAAAATCATCATTTACAACCTCATCATTCTCACTGTCATACTCAGTAGGAATTTTATCACTGTCATACTCCTCAGCGTCACTTAAACCTCTTAAATTGTCTATATTTACCTCACCATCATTATCAACACCTACATCCTTAACAATGACCTTTTTCTTTCCTTTCCCCTTCCATTTCCCTTTCCCTTTCCCTTTTCCCTTACCTTTCTCCTTACCTTTCCCATTGCCTTTTCCATCCTCCTTACTTGTTGCATTCACTTCATCTTCATCAATTGATATCTCTCCATCAATACCTATATCATTCTCCGAGTCTTCAAAATTAACATTCAAAACACCGTCATCACTTCCATCTTCTTGGTTACAGTTAACTACCTCATCTTGTTATTGGTTACAGTTCAGTCCTTCATTGATTAACCATATCATGCCCTTCACCACACATATCTTCACCCAATATGCTCACATATGATACTGACAATATGGGCTCCTCAATAACATCAAGTTCAGATACAGGATGTGTAACATACAAGTGGCATTCCCTAGTTAACACTGCAATTGTTCTCATCCTATCAGTCCCCTTATCATTTCCTAACTGAACTATATCATTAGCAATCATGTCATCATAATACCAAAGTCTATCTATAGTAGAGTAACCTAACTCTCTTAACTTGTCTAATATTTCAAAGTAACTTCAATAATCAAGATCAACATCCCATATCTCCTTTAACCCTACATAACCTGACTTGGTAAAATTTGCAAACTCCCTAGAAAATTCACCAGAATGATGAACAACACACTTAAACCTATTCTCCATGACCTAATCAACCTACATATAGTATCAGAAGTACTAAGTAAGTTAGGTATATAAGAAAGTTAACATTTTTTGAATCGTATTTGTGCAAGTTCGTACCTTAGGGTTTTTTCTACAGACGAATGAAATAATGAAGTTCTTCTTTTTCGTTCTTCTTCAATGGAGAGTTGTTGTCGTAAACGTCGTCTTCAAACAAGTGTTGTTGTTCACAATGTAGCTGCTCTCTGAACCTGAGCTTTCATCCAACAATGTAAGCATGTCTTAATATGTTTCATCTCTTTAGAATGAATGTTAAGTGTAATACAAAATTCACCTCATCCATTAAAATAATTACAGAATATCCACCTAAGCCATTTAAAGTTCAGCAGTGTAATTCCTAACGTTTTCCCAACCAAAACTAACAGAAAGGACTAATATACATAACGGAGTATAAGTTAGTGGACCATAATGTAACGTTTATTTCTTAAGAGATCAAAACGAAACAATGACTAAAGTTAAGAAACTAAAAGAGATATTAAGCCTAAAATTAATTATGTTTATATTTTTTAAATGTTAAATTTCTTGTGAAATACGACAAACCATCGTATATACTCCTTATGTCTCATATTATAAATAAATTTTATATTTTTAAATTTATTAAATAATTGATGTATCTGATCTATATTTAAATCAGATACACCAACTATTTGATTAATTTAAAAATATAAAATTTGTTTATAATATGAGACACAGAAAATAAATTTATTTTGAAACTTTATATATAAAAATATAAATTAAAAAATATCATTTTATCTATGTTTTATAAAAAAATGTGAGATGAGATCAAAATTCTTTTAAGTTTAAAATTGTGAAATCAAACGTGGGACTTAAGTTTTTTATATATATTAATTTACAATTTTAATTTTTTTTTATCAATTCAATGAATATCAAACATAACTTTGATACAATGAATATATTAAAACAACAACAAAAAAGAAGTTAAAATTGTTTTTCTTTTTCCCTTGTTTTGTTGAACCGACCCCAGAAAACTCTCAAAGCACAAATATAAATAAGGGAACAAAAAAGAAGAAAAAAAATCACACAAACAAAAAACAAATCTCAGAAAATTCAGACACAGTTTCAACAACAAACGAAGCATTCCCAAACTGCTCTTTCTCAATTCTCTCCTTCGTTTCTCCTCAGGTATCTCACTTTTTCTTCTCTTTTATCATTTGTTGTTATCATTATCAATACAATGAAAATTGAAATTGAAAATCAATCAATCAATGAACCTAGTTATTAGGTTTTTTGTTTTCATTTCATTAGTTATGATTAAACTATGATATGTGTAATCTCGAATTGAAATTGATTTTTTGTGTTTTTGTGAATGGTTTTTTTGTTTCTTTAATGTATTTTATGTAATCTTGGTTAGGGATTAATGTTGAGGTAGTTGAATTTTGTGGTTTTGTTGTTTGAACTAATTATTTTGTAGTTTTGAATTTTGGTTTAGGGAAGAATTTGATGGGTAGGTAAATATTGTTGTTTTGTTGCTGTTGTGTGTGGTTGAGACTAAAATTGTGAGTTTTTAATGGAGGTTATTGTTAATAATAGTTTGGATTTTGGGTGCAGAAGGAACATTGGAAGGAATGAGCTTGCAAATGAGACGAGAAAGGAGGGAAGGGTCGAGGTTCCCTTCACAGCGTCCTCCTCGACAGCTTTGGGTTCCGAAAGGAACGGGAGGTTCAGCCTCAACCACAACTGAAACCACTCCGGAAACCACCCCCACAACCACTGCATCAAGCACTGCCACTACAACTGTTGCCCAACCTACAGGTTTGCACTCCCGTGAGAAGAACAGTAATGGTGATGGTGGTTCGTCCAATCAAGGGACTGTTATTGCTCCACCGTTGGCTAGGCATAGAGGTAATCATCATGGTGCTCATAGGGGGGAAAGGGAACATGTTGCTCATCATGTTGAAAGGGGACATGTTGCTCATCGTGTAGAAAGGGGACATGTTGCTCATCGTGTGGAAAGGGGACATGTTGCCCATAGGGTTGAAAGGGGAAGTGATAGAGGGAGGAGTGGAAATATGGTGGGGAGGGAATACGGATCGAGGGACTCTAGTTTGCCTCAATTGGTGCAGGAGATTCAGGAGAAGCTCACGAGAGGTACCGTGGAGTGCATGATTTGCTATGATATGGTTCGGAGGTCTGCACCTGTTTGGTCTTGCTCCAGCTGCTACTCTATCTTTCACCTGAACTGTATCAAGAAGTGGGCTCGTGCGCCCACCTCGGTTGATTTATCAGCGGAGAAGAATCTAGGGTTTAATTGGCGGTGTCCTGGTTGTCAGTTTGTGCAACATACGTCTTCAAGGGATATAAAATATGTCTGCTTTTGCGGAAAGAGGGTAGACCCTCCGTCTGATTTGTATTTGACCCCTCATTCGTGTGGTGAACCATGCGGAAAGCCTCTTGAGAAGGAGGTGTTTGGTACTGAAGGGAGAAAAGATGAGCTTTGCCCTCATGCTTGTGTTTTGCAATGCCATCCGGGTCCGTGTCCTCCATGCAAGGCATTTGCCCCTCCTCGTTTGTGCCCTTGTGGGAAGAAAAAAATTGCCACTCGTTGCTCTGATCGGCAGTCTGATCTTACTTGCGGTCAGCGCTGTGATAAGCTTGTTGATTGTGGACGTCATCGCTGCGAAAATGCTTGCCATGTGGGTCCTTGTGATCCTTGTCAGGTGCTCATCAATGCATCTTGTTTTTGCAGTAAAATGGAACAGGTTATTTTTTGTGGTGAGATGGCTATGAAAGGTGAATTTAAACCAGAAGGCGGAGTTTTTTCGTGTGGTTCTAATTGTGGAAAGGAACTTAGTTGTGGTAATCATATCTGCCATAAACCTTGTCATCCAGGCAGCTGCGGTGAATGTGAATTTTTACCAAGCCAGGTTAAGACATGCTGTTGTGGAAAAATGAAGCTGGATGTTGAACGGAAGAGTTGTGTGGATCCAATACCTACATGCTCACAAGTATGTGGCAAGCGCCTTAGTTGTGGGATACATGATTGTCCGGAGCCATGCCATGTTGGGGACTGTCCGCCGTGTAAGGTCCAAATATCACAGAAATGCCGCTGTGGCTCAACCTCCCGAACTGTGGAATGCTATAAAACAATATCAGAGAATCAGAAATTTACTTGTGAAAAGCCGTGTGGGGCAAAGAAAAATTGTGGAAGGCACCGATGCAGCGAAAAGTGTTGTCCAGTGTCCGGTCCAAACATTGATTTGACTAATGCAGATTGGGATCCTCACTTCTGTTCCATGCTATGTGGAAAGAAGCTGAGATGTGGCCAGCATGTGTGTGAGACGTTGTGTCATAGTGGTCACTGTCCACCATGTCTTGAAACAATCTTCACTGATTTAACATGTGCTTGTGGTAGGACCTCAATTCCTCCTCCCCTACCTTGTGGTACAATGCCTCCCTTGTGTCAACTTCCATGTTCGGTTCCTCAACCGTGTGGTCATTCAGGCTCTCATAGTTGCCATTTCGGAGATTGTCCTCCATGTTCAGTGCCTGTGTCAAAACAATGTGTTGGTGGCCATGTCATTCTTAGGAACATACCTTGCGGCTCAAATAATATTAGATGCAATAATCCCTGTGGAAGAACTAGACAATGTGGTTTACATGCGTGTGGTAGAACATGTCATTCACCACCTTGTGATGTTCTACCTGGTTTTGTGGAAGGTTACCGAGCACCATGTGGACAGACATGTGGTGCTCCAAGGAGTGGCTGCCGCCATATGTGCATGGCTCAATGTCACCCTACGTTTTCTTGCCCAGATGTAAGATGCGAGTTCCCTGTTACAATTACTTGTTCTTGTGGTCGAATAACAGCGAATGTTCCTTGTGATGTTGGTGGTAGCAGTAGTAATTATAACGCTGATGCAGTATATGAGGCTTCAATTATTCAAAAACTGCCCATGCCGCTTCAACCGGTTGATGCAATTGGCCAAAAAGTTCCCCTTGGACAAAGAAAGCTGATGTGTGATGAAGAATGTGCTAAGTTGGAGCGTAAAAGGGTTCTTGCCGATGCATTCGACATCACTCCAAGTCTTGATGCTCTCCATTTTGGTGAGAATTCTTCATTTGAATTGCTTTCCGACACGTTTAGACGTGATCCAAAGTGGGTTTTGGCTGTTGAAGAAAGATGCAAAATATTAGTACTTGGAAAAACCAAAGGAACAACACATGGTTTAAAAGTGCATGTCTTTTGTCCTATGATAAAGGATAAAAGAGATGCCGTGAGATTGATTGCTGAAAGATGGAAGCTTTCGGTGAATGCTGCTGGTTGGGAGCCAAAGCGGTTTATCGTAATTTCTGCTACCCAAAAATCTAAGGCTCCAGCTCGTGTGCTTGGGGTTAAGGGTACCACAACTTTAAATGCACCTCTTCCTACCGCATTTGATCCATTGGTTGATATGGACCCGAGGCTTGTCGTCTCCTTTCCAGACCTGCCAAGGGATGCTGATATTAGTGCCTTGGTACTTCGGTTCGGCGGCGAATGTGAGCTTGTTTGGCTGAACGACAAGAATGCTTTAGCTGTTTTTCATGATCCTGCCCGAGCTGCAACTGCAATGAGGAGGTTGGATCACGGAACAGTTTATCAGGGTGCTGTTTCGTTTGTCCAGAATGTCGCATCTGCGGCGTCTTCGGTTACCAATGCTTGGGGAGGAATAAAAGAGGGAGGAGGATTATCAACACTGAGAAGCAATCCATGGAAAAAGGCTGTGGTTCTTGACCCAGGATGGAAAGAAGAATCATGGGGCGAAGAACAATGGGGTACCGGTGGTTCTGCAAATATCCAACCATCTGTTTTGAAGAAAGAAGCGCCAATACCTGCCTCAACAAATCCTTGGAATGTTTTAAACCAGGAATCAAGTTCGAGCTCATCGTTTACAACTGTCACAAAAAGAGAAACTTCTGGAAAACAAACCCAAATCGGCGATCTCTCAACTAAAGTGCAGCCTTCTACGGACGGAGCAATTGGAGGAAACAAGGATGCAACAGAAGCTGCTGAAGTTGTAGATGATTGGGAGCAAGCTTTTGAGTAAGAGTCAAGTTATAAACAACAAATAAAAATGAAAATTTTTACTGTTTAAAAGTAGACATGAATGAGGATTAATTAAGGTTACCTATCTCCTTGCCATGTTTTGTCAATTTTGGCAAATTGAGGTTGTTTTCCTCATTTTAGGTGAATGTTTTAAAATTCAAACTCATTGGATCCTCTTTTCACAGATTGAGCAAACAGGGTATTATTATATGCTATAGGGTAAAATGCATTTTGTCAGTGCATCATTGATCAGTTAATGAAATCTAGTTTGGATTTTCTATCCATTGATGTTATAATTTGAGGCCCTTAAAGGCTTCTATTCAATCCTAATATTACAATGTTATTGGTGCGAAATAATTTTCGAATTTATGAATGATAAGTCTCTATTTCGAATTTATGAATGATGAATCTCAGTTGAAGAACCAAAACTGTTTGAATTTGAGACATTGCTTAAAAGAACCGAGTCGAATTTTTCGGTCGAATTTTTCGCATCAGAAAACTGTAATCTTGATAAGCGATTGCAGAATGTATAGACTTCAAGTGTTCTTAAAATAATGTCATATTGTAATTGTTTTTTCCAGAAACAATTTACATACAATGATGTTTTTGAATAGTTTTCATTTTTTGATATTAAAACAGATTAATTATTCTTATATTTTAACAAATCAAGAGTTATGTCAAACAAAAAAGGTTCATTAATTTTTTTGGAGAACATCTATTATGACTGTGTATGGAAAGCCACATTTTCGAGTTTATAGTTTATAAACTCATCATAATTTAGTTTTGTTTGGTAATAGATTTTTTATAATTAGTTTATAGTTTATTTTACTAATTTATAATTTATTTTTTAGATGCTATTTCAAATAGCATTTAGCTTATAGTTTATAATTTATCATTTTTTTTTTATCTTTATTATTTTAACAAAAATACTTTATGTCATTTTACATTTATAAATTAATTGAACTGTTAATTTTACAAAACACTTCAATTAATTTATCATCTATCAATTATTTATCATTAGCGATAAATTATTAATAATTAGTTATTAATCATAAACTATAAATTAGTTTATTAATCAACCGTTATTTTTACTATTAGTCTATATTGAAATTGTTACGACTGATATAGAGAATATTATTATATTAAAAATATGTGTTACAATCAATTGTTATATTTGTTATATGAAGTTATTAGTTAGATAATTTAGTTATAAATTAATTATTTAATTTATGATTTGTTAGTTGATTATGATTATTATATAAAGTATAGCATCTATTTATGTATATATTGTAATAATTATTTTATCATTTGAATAAATAATATATAATCTATTCATCTCTTAATTTATTTCTCCTTTTTTGAATACAATTATGCTTCTCAACAATATCAATAGCATAGCATTTTGAAGGTTTATGAATCACATGAAAGTACAAAACATGCTTTTAAATATATAACATACCATTTAATTTTAAATTTTAAATGTGATGATGACAATTGTATTAAACCTACTTAAATTTCTATTAAATAATCTGATTTGCAGGAAATCACTAACATTGTGTTTGGTACAACAGAAATAGGAAAGAGAGAAACGAGGGAAAGAAAAGTTGTGAAGAGAGATTGAATCGGATTTGGATCGTCTTTTTTTTTATATATTCTGTCATCTCTCATGTTTCTAATTTAACGGATTAGAATTTATAATGAATAATTAAATAAAAAAAGTTATTTATAAGTTTGATATTTTTTATCCTATTAAATGATTTTTTAAATTTAATTATTTATTATAAATTCTGAACCGTTAGATTAAAAACATGAAAGATGACAGAATATATAAAAGAAAAGAGGATCTAAATCCGATTGAATCTAAAGAGACTATGCGTTAAGTTATATTAAACAAAATCACATTAATGCATAAGCTAAAACTTAATGCTTCTCGACACCATGTTAAGAAAATGCATTGAAGTGTCACGTTTATTTCATTTTTCATTAAAAGTACGAGGAGATAAAATATAATTGAGTATCTAATCATAATCTTTTAAATTTATTTGTGAATTGCATATGGTTATTTTGTTAAATTGTTTTACACTTTTTACTACTCTAGATAGTCAAATTTATTTTGTAAACAAAAAAGGAAAACAAGTTTTAGTTTTCAAGAAGTTATCTAGGTAAAATATATGCAATAATAATTGTAAAGTATAAATTATTTTAGGGTTCGAAACAAAAATTTTGCAAATTTGTCACAAATGGAAAATGGTTAAATAATTGTTGTAATATAATCTAATTAGTAAGTCTTGTAGTTGTTACTTGCATTGCAAGTAAATATACACACTAGTATATATACATGTAAGATGTCACTTAATATGTAAGCAATTGAATATACATTCCAATACTACAATCTTTTCTTTCTTTCACTTGCATATTTTTTAATTCTTTTTCAATAAAGTGCATTAGCACTAATAAATTGGTAACTAGAGCCTTTAGGTTCGTTTTTTTTTTTTTTTTTTTTTCCGCTCAAGATTTGCATATTGGTGATCATGTTTTCAGGAATTGTGAGTCGTATTTGCTGCGAAGATGAACGCTAGTAATGGTATTCCCAACTCTCTTCGAATTTTTGATGGCAAAAATTGGAACCGGTGGCATAAGTCGATGAAGTCTTTATTTAGTTTTCAAGAAACCTTTGAAGTTGTTACAAATGGTGTTCCTATTCTCGTTCTCAATGCAACTGAGGCTTAGAGGAAAACTCATAAGGATTTAAAGAAGAAATACTACAAAGTTGCATTATGTATTCAATATGTAGTGGACAATGCAAATTGTGATCGTATTTCTCATGTTGAATCTACTAAAAAAACATGAGATATCCTTGTCAAATATTACGAAGGCGGTGAAAAAGTGAAAGGTGTCAAATTGTAAGCATTGCAAAGGCAATATGAGTTACTGCAGATGAGAGAATATGAGAAGATTGTAGACTGTGTATCCAAGATGTAGAACCTTCTTCACCTCATGAAAGGATGTGTTGAAAGCATGACAGATAAGATGATAGCTAAGAAGGTAATACGAACGTTGACTCTCACTTTGATCATGTTATCGTGTCTATTCAAGAATTCAATAATCTTGAAACGTTGATGTTTGAGGATTTGGTTGGTTTGTTGGAGGCTCATGAATTATGGATAATCGAGAGAAAGGGTGTTCAAGACTCGATACATGCGTTTCAAACCCAAACATGGAAAAAATATGATGGTTCCAACAAGTTTAAGGGAAAAGGAGACAAGAATGAGAGCAAGAAGAATTCTTAGTTGCACCCTCAAAAGAAAAAAGTTGATGATAAGGCTTCTGAATCCTCCAAAAGAGGAGAAAGAATCTCATATCACAAGGAAAAACTAGAAAACAAAAGCGTGCAATGCTACAACTGTGAAAAGTGGGAACATTTAGCAAAGAACTGATGGTAAAGTCTTGCACGTGAAGATTCAAATGATTTTAACACCATGATGCTTATGGATGTAGTCTTAGATGAACATGTGGATTCCAAAACTTGGTTCTTTGACACATGTTTCTCAAATCACACGACGAGTCATAAAATCTGGCTAACAGACTTTGATGGTACCAATAAAAGGAAGATTAGGCTTGCAGATAGTAATTCATTTCAAGCAGAATGAGTATGCAACATGGTTACTCAAAGAAGCAATAGAGCACAAGCCATAATCAAGGATGTGCTTTATATGCGTATGATGAAATGAAACCTGTTGAGTGTTGGCCGACTGGTTTAAAAAGGATTCTTAGTGGTTATGAAGAATGAAACCATTGAACTTTTTGATGCGTACAACAAATTGGTCTTGAAATCTCCTATCTCAAAAAACACGACATTTAAGACCATTATCAATTCAGTTGGGGTTCAATGTCTCAAAGCAGTTGTAGAGCACAAGCAAAGTTGGCTGTGGCACTTAAGGTTTGGCCATATAAACTTTAGGTCACTCAATAAACTCTTTAGTCAAGATATGGTAATTGGCATCCTATGTCGTGCCACTACTAAGAAATATACCTTTGGTAACACCATATTACTATGACAGTTTAAACAACTGTAGTAATAACTCATTTTCGCGTGCCTGAATTTTTTATTATTCTATGGATGAAAGGTCCTTGATCACAACCGTTATGATAAATGAAAGATTACTTGCTTTGATTTCCAACACTAACAATTTTTTATATATTTTTTTTTTGTTACAAAAAGGGTTTGTCCTTATAATCTATTAAATATATTAATATTAAAATAATTATTGCCATAGTTATTACCAGAAATTGTTATGAATAGTACTTATATTTTATTACGATTGTTATTAATAGTCGTGGTGATAAATTTTACACACACACACACATATATTTATTTTCCATGAATCTTTGCAATAAAAGGTACGTTCGTGAAACATTTTATGAGTTGACACGTTGTTGTATTTTTGTCGATAAATATTGATGTATGTTTTTGTTGATAAATGTTTCTCATATCAATTTTATTAGGGTTTTTATTTGGCATGATTTTTGTGTTTTTTGTGTTATCTCAACTTGAATCTCTGTTTTTGAAATGGGTCTCAGTTACCATATTTGTTTCATATATGAAACTCGCTTTTCTTAAAAATCTCTGTTACCATATCTGCTCCATGAAATGATCTACGCTTTTGTGCTCTTCTTAAAATCTAATTTGTGTCTTAGGTCAATTTTATTAAACTTAAAACACTAGTTCAATAGATACATCATTATATTAGACATTACTTGGTTTTTCGTTTATGATAACATGTTGCTAATGTCATGATAGTTATGTTTCAAAATCATGTTAACACGTTGTTTATAGGACTACAATGGCATGCTAGTTTATGTTTTCAAATCAGGTTAACATGCTAATATACTTTTCTTTTTATAGGCGTGGCTCACAAAGGTTTTGTGTTGCTATGAATAAAAAAATACAAGGAGGACGAAGCTAATGTGAAAACTGCAAACTTGTGCGAAAGACCCAGA